AACTGAGAGTGCGCCTTTTAGTACGGTGCGCCTTATGGTCGTGAAAATACGGTAGTTCAAGTTCTGTTACATCTTTAACAACAATCACCGTTGCTTGTTCCGGGGTTCCATCCAGCTTTCTCATCCAGGTATCGCGAATCTTCTTCTCTCTTCTTAGGATCCTTGCTTGTCTTGCAATTTCAGAATTTATTTCTGTGAGGTGCTCATTCACGTTAACATCTGTACCCTTCCATTTTTTAGCATTTCTCAGCACCTCCATTTTGAGTTTCCTTCTTGCGAGCCTAATGATAACATTTGTCTTTTTAGCCAAAATATATCAAGCAACAATGTCTTCACTATCAGTGATGATGTCTTTGCTGTTAATGAACTTGATTACCTGATCTTCCAATTAGGGCTGCGCGATATGACGATTTAAGACCGTGTTACGATCTCCAGCTCTGACGATCTGTCGTTATTTAGAGACCATTTTATCAGGATCCACAGAACTGCAGAGCTGCTGTATTTCTGCCACTGACCACATTTACATGCAACCAAAAAAAAAACCTTCACAGCTAGAATATAATCCGAAGGTTTGATGTTCGTCCGTTAGTTTGAAAATCAGTTACGCCCCCCCCAAGTTAGTTCTGTGCTTTCTTTTTTCTTTTACTTTATTAGACCAGTCAAGATTTTAAAGTAATAAAACTGCACTAAGATACAGTTAGAATTTTTATTTATTTTGACTGTAGTTACTTGAAAAATGTAACTAATTTGTAATTGTTTTACTCAGGAGTTATTGCATTTTTATACTCTTTTGTGTATTTACAATATAGAAATTTAAAAAATAAGTTTGTTAGCACCGCTTTGATTCTCTAATTTTAATAAACTTGTTCATTTATTTCATTTTTCTCTTCTTTGCATGTAATTGAAGTCATGTTAGTCGTATCTAAAAAATCGTGATAAAATCAGGATCACAATAATATCATTAAAAAATGGTGATATTTTATTTTTGCCATATCGCCCAGCCCTTCTTCCAATGAAGAATCCAGATCTTCCCTCTTGTCACCTGCTGTGGCCCGTACTCCAAGCCCTGAGATCAGGAGATCATCCATCCTTGAATTCTGCTCCAAGTCATCAATTCTTCTTTCCAGCCGTTCAATTTTTTTTGTCCATTTCGTGCATTAAAGCCTTCAGTTGTTTGATTTGATCCAAGGCCTCTAGCAGGCTTCTTTGTTGCTGTGATACTGTAGTTATTT